TGACACTGGGGAAAAACTGCATCTGAATAAAACATATTATTTTTATTATTATTAAAATCATTCTTATTTGACCCTTTCAGCAGAAATGCACATCCATTTGAACTGTAGTGTTTTTTTAAAATTAAGCCAACACCAGCAATCATTTTGCACTACTGCTCAGAAGCCCTAGTCAACTGATGAAGTGCTTAATGCAACTTATCCATATATCCTGAGTGTCTTCTTTAATGCAAGATAGAGAATTATTGTCCCAGGAAAGGACATTCTTGTGCTCCAGAAACACAAATGCACACTGTAGAATCTCATAGAGTAAACAAAATTCAGGCAGTTTCAATATATATTTCTCAGGTTCATCTTTAATCAAAAGAAATTACCCTCACAGAGGCAGAGAGGTAATTTGGGAGTCCACACGGACACTGTATTTCTCTGTGCCTAAGTCAAGAATTCCTACACACAGGGAATTTGTGTAACATCAAATGTGACTCCTACCCATTACACAGGCAGGGACAATCAAATCTACTCATTTTATACCTTAAATTGCACCTAGATTGTTTACTAGCCTAGCCGGTCTCTTGTTTTCACATGCCTTATTTGCTGTGAATACTACCTATAATTGGCTTTTGACATTATTTACTTTTTTCTTGTATTAATACAAATAGTTTTTTATTCTAGATATAGCAGTTTATCCTTTAATATATTATGGGATGCTTATGACATAACTAAATTCCTCCACCTCTTGGCTCTTTTTTGAAAAATTTACTAGATGCCCAATATATTTAATATTCAATAGCATGTGAAAATAATTTTTATGCAACTCCGATAGTTAGAAAGATAGATAACTCAATTATTAGATCATCTATCAAAATATTCAGATGTATAAGAGGCTACTAAAAAGATTGATGAGTGAGAAAGTCCACTGATTCTCTAGCCATCATATTCACACATTTGGCTAGACAACATTTTTCGCTGCCTTCACAAGCAAGCTTCATTACCCATCGCTCCACTGAAAAGAGTTTATTATGAGGCTGCCATCTTGGCAAGACTATTATTTAGATGATAAATGTTGGGGGGAAAAAGTGTGTCTCGATTTTTTTTTTAAGATGAGCTTTTTGACAGATAAAACAAACAGCATCTACATTTCTAATTAACTTAAATTTGGCAGATACAAATACAGGTCAGCAAAGCTATGATATGCTACTAGATTATCTTCTGTCTGAATTTGCCCTTAATTTGTAAAATGTAAATTAACTAATTAGAAGAAAAGCAGCATTATTTGTGACAAAATGCTGCTTCTATTTCTTTGCTTTGTGACATTTATGATCAACTCCGGCCCTTCATTCTAACTTTTAATAGATAGATAATTATGCTCATATTAATTTATAAGGCTTTTAATATTTAAAAGCAAATGAAAAACTTGTGATTTCTGAAAGCTAGAGAGTACAATGCACTCTTCAACAAACAACTAAACTATCTATTTGTCAGCTTCATATCAGTCGGATGTTATGTTGTTTGCATGTATATGTAGGATCTATACAGGTACAAAGACATCAATTTTAATATTCAACACCAGACTCAAAAGAAAATCCCCGTTAGTATTCTTGAAATCTTCCTGGAAATCAGTGTATCCTTTCTGCACAAAATATAGAACAATAATAATACAATTGTGCTTTGCTCATTAGTACTAGGAGTTAAATTTGCTTTTATACTCCTACTTCCCAAACTGTCATTTGAAATGGATTAGACTAGGAATTACAGAATTACATGAAGGAAGAGGGAGCTGCTCATTTTTGAGTTTCAGCCCAGCAACTTGACCTTGTTAAATAAATAAAAAAAAACACACATAGTTTATAGGAAAGGATTCTTTTAATTTTGCTTTGGTTCTAACTATTACTAGGCAGATAAAGCCTAAACAATAAGAAATACATTGAAAATGTCAGATGTAAATGTCAATTAAAAATTACAAGGAATTCTGAAAGGTAAGGTCTGTGGGGGGTTGACATTCTTTGACATAGTGGAGTGTCTGCGACCAGGCCCTTGGCAAGCGTAGCAGCATCCATGCTGTCAGCTCTTATCGTACATAAACTTAGATGCTTGTCTAATCTGAATGAGAAATACCAGGGAAATTGGAGCTGAAGCCTAGCAGTAATGTAGGCGGAGGCTGAAAATGCTCTATCTGCAGTACGTGCAAGTCTCTTGTGACATGACAATGTTTGAGACAGTATAGAAAAAACATTAAAAAAAAATTTAAAGAAAGCTATACAGTGCTTCACTTTTTAAAATGAGAATGTAGAAATCTAGTGGTAAAACAGGTTTAAGTACCAGAAGAAATTTATAATAAAAAATGCAATTTAATGTCCATATTGAATACAGTTAGGAAAAAAGCATTAAAATGTATATTTAATTAACATAAATCATTCAGACGTAAATGCTAATATACACACAGGGTGCTCTGTTGTTTGCTTTGACAAACTGAAATTTGATACAAAATAAAAGACAAAAGTGATCATAAAAACAATTAACATTATAGCAATGTTAGCCATGAGCTATGGTTTCCACAAGAAATGTCTTCATGGTCTATTGCTGAATGACTTTGTTAAAGGTGAAACCATTGGTGAAATATTAAAAAATTACCTTGGAGCTGAAGTTAAAAAAAAAAAAAATTGCATCAACTACATGTTCATTTTGATACTGTTCAGGTGTCACTGAATAAAGATCTCGTTTAACCCTGCTCTACTAATTGGAGTAAGGAGGGAGGGAGACAGAAGCACAGCAGAAGTCAGCGTGCGTGAGATTCGAGGAGCACTAGATAGCTACACAAACCCTAAGTCCCTCTGTGTTGCAGTAAGGTCAGAACCTTTCAGCATTGTACCAGTGTGTCAAAATATGTCAACAAACCATCACGCTGCAAGAAGAAGAATGACCTTTCAGTTCTTTATGTTTGGCTGCCAATGAAGCTTCGGATACTGGGTATGCATGAACAGTTTTCCTAGCCACTTGACAAATGCAACTCCCAAGGTTTCCTCCAAGTCAAGTTGTTAAACTACTGGCTTTCAACTTACTGGTACAACTTTTTAAACCACTTGCAGTCGGCGAACATTGATGTTGTTACAGACAGAACAGACATCTGTAAATGCACAGTATAATTCCCTCTCTTCCCGTACCATCTACAACTACACAACAATTATTACTTAAATAATCTTCACAGTGGCGTATGTTAAACCTTTTAAAATAGCTGAATAGAGAAAAAAAAGTGCATTTTTTCATGTTCTAATTCAGTCTTTGCTCACATATGATTCATCCTTTTAGCCAACAACAAATGCTCTCACACAAAATAGCCCCCAAAATAAAACCACATCAGCTATGTTTCTGACTGAAATGGAATCTTATATGATTTTTGCTTTGCTATTTATCTGGAACACTTCATAATTCAATAGGACATTGTTGTAATTTTATTATTACAACTGTTAGTTATAAACAGAAGTCTCAAGTTCAGGCAATGTATTAATTAATAACTCATTTAATAATGAATTTAGGTTTCTAAAAATATGTGTACCACTTTAAAATTACTTATGACAAATCTGCTCTTTTATTTCTTCTTTCAAAGAGTAGAAGCACACAACATTACAAGAAAAAGGGGGGAAGGAAATTAGTAGAGGGATGACTTACTATCCTTATGCAAAAGCAGAAGATGAAATGCTTCTCTCTCATTATGTGAAATTACCATTAGTCTAATATCAGTGTCAAATACGACATTTTGCTGTGGTCTCCCTCATATATAGTGAAGTTTTTTTCTAGCTAATAACAGCATTGAGCTTTCTCCTGGGACCCTCCAGAAATTATATTCCAGAGTGTACATATGCCTTAGCCAGACTTGCAGAGAACAGAAGAAGTAAATTGCTGCATTTGAGTTTATATCTTCTTACAGCAAGTCATTGACAGTACACTCACTAATTAGTATTTAAACTGTCTGTTGTTGATCTCTATATACCTCTTAGAAAGCAGCAGCCATGCCTATCAGCTCGGATTAACATACTTTTACAGCTGGGACTCCAATTTTTAATTTAAGTCGGAAAAAAAGATGAAATTACACACCAGGGGAAAAAACAAAGAAGCAGCAGTATTGCTTTAAATGCTGGAATATTTTACAACTTGTTTTCAGACCCCTTTTTAAAGTGCAAATCTGTCTCACTTCCTGTTCATGCTCTCCCCAGTTTTTATCCTGATGGTTACAAAAACCCATCAATGTTTGTCAGTGAACAATGAAAAAGAAGTGCACAAATCAACTATGCTTTGCACATGCAGTTATCTTGTCCCCACAGCAGCAGAGACAGACACAGCCCTGCGCAGCTGGGCTCCCACTGCTTGGGAGGAACACACTGAGCGAAAGGATCCTGCAACTATGTGAATCATTTTAGGGTAAGTTCTTCCAAAAGATAAAACAGTTTATTATTATTATTATTCTAAAGATTCCTCTGCAAAATCAATCCTATAATACTCAAAGCAAAAGTCGCTTCTTCTTGTTTCTTCATTAGTAGTGAAAGCTCCTAGTATCTAAACAGTGCCTTGAGTTACAACTGTGCAAACCCACTGACAGGGTATGGTTTGTACATTTTTAATGGGAAGCTTAATTTGAAGATGAGGTTGCAGTGTAGCACTGCAATTGAAAATTGCTTAACAATACCATTGATGTATGAGCCATAAAAAACCTTGCTAAGCTGTCCCTGCAGAACTCAGAGTAATAAAAAGGTGTTCTTTTGCACTGAGGTGAACAGACATGGTTGACTGCATCTAGGGAGCTGTTCTGTTAAGTGAGAAAGTGCCATTTCTTTCCTGTCACTATAGGCCAATTTACGATACTCTCAGATTTAGTTAGCGCAGAGTACAGGATTTAATGAAACATAAATATTGGAGCAAAGAAACCACAGCTATGCTCAAAAACTTTCAGTCAGATTGTGTGCAGAATTAAGCTTGCATCTGCAATAGATCCAAAAAAAAAAAGGAACTTTTTCAGTCTCATCCCTACTTTTCTGGAAAACAAACAAGCAAAAATCTCAATGGAAAAAGTCTAAAGCCTATCCATTCCTTCAAATTATCTAGACATGGATTTCTATCTACATCTAACAGGCGATATTAAGAGTTCCCTGTCCAGTTTCAACTCAGCTTTAAGTTCAACTAATAGTTCAGGCTTACAGAAACCTAAACTATAGTGTCATGATGTCTCCATGATGACCCAATTCCCTTTCTCCAGATCATCCATATGCCTTCCAAAGAGGAAAGGTGATGGCACAGGTACAGTTGAACCAACTAGGAAGTATATTCTCATCTCAAAGATCCTTGCACAATAAGCTCATTCATTATATCATTCAAAACTGATTCACATTTTGGGTAGCTATTATATCTTTTTTTATAAATAGTTTGGGAGAGCAAGCAATGTTGATTATGTCAACTGGATGCAACCTAATCTGTCAACAGCTGTTCATTAACCCAACTATCATTAAATTAGAAGTAGCTACAGTGATTAAGAACTCACTTCAGAAGATGCTATGATATTGTTTGTTTGGTCTAGTGGTACCAAGATTAAGACTAAGATGTTTTGATCCTTACAAAACAAACAAACAAACAAACCAAAAATGAAATAAAACACAAACAAAAGAAATCTGCCTAATTTCCAGTGCTAAACTATGATTAAATTCTGGATTTAGGGAGTAACAAATCTCATTAATGGAATTTCTATTTTTCATTATATTCATTTAAAGTAATTAGATATATAACAAAGAACATTTTTTAATAATTGTTTTTAATACTATAAGAAAATACTGGGCAAAATCTGAAAACTAATTACAATTATTGACCCGTCTGTCAATTCAATCTAGCTTTAGTAACATTTAGTAACATAACAACAAGTAACAGCAACTTACTTGACTAATAGGTCGCTGAGAGATGATAATCTGTTTTTGTATTTTGAGCATCAATTACTACATTGGAACAAGTAAAAAGAAGTTTGCCCGGGTTTTTGTTGACTGATATAGGCATAAGGTAAGTTTCTTTGGAAAAGTCAGGTTCAAATGGTAGACTCTGAAGGATATTGCCCTTCCTAGCTCAAACCAAAAGTGAGGAAACATTTTGTTCAGTACAAAATTCAGAAAGAAAAGCTTAGACTTTATACTGACAATTTTCCTTCAAACCAATAAATGCATCAGCCCAATTTCATTTGCCTACTTAGCTTTCAACACTTCTCATCCCCTACCTTGTGAGTATCTTCATGCCCATACTATACACTAAAATTAACTTTTAGGAACCGGTGTTCCCTGATATAACTTTAATCCTCCCAGTGTTGCCTCTTCTCTTCAGAAAATATTATAGAGAGCACATCAAATGGCCTTCTCCCACCTAGGCAGCTCCATCTCTTCTTGCCTAGCCTTTAGTGCTACTTCAGCACCACATCTATCAGCATCTTGGCGCTGTTTCCCTAGATAGCGCTCTATACTCGCATTTACTCACTTTTTTTTACCCCCTAAGTCATGTACTCTGGTTATTTGTGTCATAAATTCTTTCCTATAATTTTTCTGTAGTACAGTAATTTTGCCCAACAACTGACAGTCTTGCTGTCTTGCTGAGGTTCCCATAACCTAGATTCCAGTTCTGTAACCCACCCTTTCTAAACTGTGAAATAGCTGGCTCTTCTCCAGTCGATGAAGTAGCTTGCTGCAAAATCTAATTCTGCACTCTGACCATTTTATTCTTAAGATCTATCCACTTCCTTCCCCTGCTGCCTCAGACAGAAGCCTGCTAAGGTATTTCCCAAGCTAAGGCTGGCAATTTCCACCTTGTCTTTTTCACACATGACCTAAAACATTGACTAAAACATTGATTGATGGCCACGGTTTGGCCACTGATGTCAGCATGCGCTATTAGTTGCATGCTCCAGCATGCTCGTGCCATCTTCCACAGCGTCCTTCAAATTTCATTGAAACTCTCTTGTGAACACTGGGCAGACTTCCTTACCTGTGCTTTTAAAAATCCTTCATCAAAACTCTCCTTCACTCCACTGATAATTTTTAGTAAGCTTACAAGGGAATACTGTCTCCTTCTTTGTATTCCACTATATAATTCATCTTAAATTTCATTTCAGTATCTTGCACAATCTTTTGTTTCCTCTGATCTTGTATAGGATGGTCAGATTTTGGGAAAAAAAAGTTTTTATTTTTTCTTCATAAAATGTCCACCACAACAGTGGTCTAACCAGTGAGGATGCTTCTGGTACCATGGGAATACATACAAATATATACCATAGGGACCTTTTTAAGAGGAAGGCAATATTATTTTAACAATCTTTAAAAAATGCCATAAAAATCTTTATACTACCAAAAACTACATGCTCAAAAATTCTGTCCAGCATAAAACATTTTTCCTCTAACATTCCTACAACTCCTATTATTTTTTTTAACGGAAAGTAATATTTGGTGTTACTGTAAAGTGCAGACAATACGCAGAGAAGTATTTTTTATAAACAGCACAAATCACAGAATATATACGATACGATGACAATGAACAATACAGTTCTCTGTGTACAAAGCCCACCTGCTAGATTGCATAGATTTTATGACAGATTTGGCACACTGCATATATAGCTAAAATATCACAGCAGAAGTTTCCACATTTTTAGTACCAAATTTTCCACATTTAGTACCAAGCTCAGGTACTAAAAAAACTGAAATACGACTTCTACACCAAAATAATTTATTCTATTATCTACTGCTCCTATAAAATCTCCAGCATCCCAATGTGACATTCTAATAAATATAATGCAAAATATCAGATTAGTTACAGTTTATTCACATGGCTTAATACCAAAGCCACTAGGTGTTATTTGTTTCAGTAAGTTATTTTTAAAATGAGTATTATCTCTCTATAAGAAAAAATAAAGAAAAGTACCTATTCCAGTAGCTCCAAAACTGGTCCTGCAAGTAGGCTTGGTGGCTACTTTCATCACCAAAGGAGGCTTTGCTTTCAATCCAATGAATTATATGTCCTTCAACAGCTAGGGCAATAGCAGAAAATAAGAGAGAGCTCTGAAAATCAAATTCAATGGGTTTTAAGAGTTCTATGTTTGTGAGCTCCATATTTACCCCCACAAATTACCACGTGAATTATACTTGCAACTGAGTTCTATACTTGTAAAATATATTTCCATTATGTGCATGGGATAATTTTCTGGAAACTACCACAAAATACTTTAAAGGATAATTATTTTAATTTCAGTTTAATTGTATCTTATTCTAGGAGTCCTCTATTTGCACTTATTCTAACTCAAACAGAATGAAAAGAAAAAGAGACCAGACTAAAGTGCAATTGCGCCCTATTTTTCTCCTTACTTTGCTTCCTAGTTGTCAGAAAAAGAGTTGAAGACTTCTGGTGAATAACAAGGCCAGTTAGCCAAGCTGCTGAAGAGAGAAACTTCTCAGCAACACTAGAGTGGAATGTGTGAGAACAGCAAGAAAGGTTATCCTAGACATATATATGTTCTTTATACTTCTGCAATATCAGCAATGCTTCATCAGGGAGAGGTAAGGCAAAAGAAGGCATCTCTCAAAAAAGCGATTCTGAATTTCTGCTTCTCTAAAGGCTCTTTAGTTCATGTCCCTCCCCGTTTTTTCTAGGTGAGAATTTGCAGCATTAATATTCCTCCCCCTACTTTTTTTTTGTAAAAGGAGAGTCACCTCCTAGATGGATGATCTATTTTTACAGAAGAAAACAAGAAGAAAAAACATCTAGTCTCCACAAAGTTAATGCGGGATTACTGAAGTCTTTATTTGCCTATACTAGTCCCAGTCTGACAGGGGATAAGGTGCTCTAAGGGCATGAATCCCCAGATGCCCATTCTTTGCTGTTCACAGTTTAGCATTGGCTCTACAATTACTTGGGAATTTTGGGTGTAAATATTCATGAAGTTGATACACTGAGATCTACAATGCCATACTTGCTCTGCTGGCTGCAACCAACTTGTGTGGGCACACACAGCAACACCCCCTCATACCTTTAGACCCCAGGAAGCATAACATCTGAGGCATAAATCATGGAGTCAGTTGAAATTTCTAACAAACATTTGCCTTTTCTAGCTATTTATTGAGTCACGAAGACAAGAATATAAGGAAAGACCTTAGTTCAGATCTGACAGCATGTAGAAAATTATTTCCTGCGAATCTCAAATGACTGAATTCATCTGAAGAAAGTGCACACTATTACTGTATGGATTTTCAGAGACTGTGACAAATCCATGCAAATATATTAAAGGATTATTTCTAAACTTCTACCTAAAAGGAAAATATTACGAACCCAAGAATTCTATTGTTTTTTTCCCACAATGCCTTCTCAAACATCTCAAGAATTAAATCCACCCATTTGCTTTCCATTAAGCAGCCATCTATTAAGGCTGGTACATAATGTTACATGTTTCTGTTATAAAAGTGAATATTGTATATCAAATGCAAATTGTACATGGAAGTCCAAACTATTTCATAATCTTCCCTGCTAACTGCAGAACTGAATAACACAAATAACCTCCCCCACTCATACTCTGGATGGCTTCCTGTGAATCTCCAGAGATGAAAGTTATGGAAATAAAGTAGCAAGTATTAATTGACAACTCTCTTGGTATGTCTTAGTAGAAGTAAACTGCAGATCAGAATGCCATAGCCCATGGCAATAACAACCAATTCAGTTACAAGGATATTATTTACTTCGTGTATACAACTACTTCTTAAAGTTACTATGATAAGCATTTTCTCTCTCTCCCCCTTTTCTTTAAAACATCAAGATGCTGAAGTTCTTCAAAGATTTTTTGAAAAAGCTCTCGTATGCATAGTTGATTATATCCTGTATATGAGAGTTTACTGTGTTGAAAGATGGTATATCAAGAATTGCACATCTGAAAGCATGTACTTAATGTCCTACACCACTGTAAAAATCCATGATCTTGATAAAAATCCCAACTGTGTCAATCCTATGAAAAAATTTCAGTAACAAATTTAACTTTCAGTGCTTTCAGCCTTTTTATTTTTCTCTGATAACCAAACCGGCACACTTGCTGTGTTCTAAGCAGGAGAGGCAGAAGTCTTTTGGGCTGAAAGTCAGTTTGCAAAAGGTAATTAGAATCTCTCATACTTGGAGAACTTGGATGTTTTTCCTTCCATGGCACAGTTACTAGGTCATCTGATTACCTTAACAATTTACATGACCTCATGACCAGAAGATGCAGATGAACTTCGACTTGACCTTTATGCTTACTTCTATCCTCTTGATTCTTATAATTTAGGCTATCAAAAAAACAAGAGACATCTGCAGGGTTTTATTTAGATGGTAAGCTGTGACAAAAAAATAACTGCACAATGACCAACTTTTACTCCATGACCTTTAGGTATAATGGCATTATTTCTAAGACTGCTTTGAATTTAACTGGGCCTAGAAATTTAAAATAATTGTAATTATTTCAGAGTTCACAATTACAGTAGACATTGTAGGTTAAAGAGGAGTGGGGTTTTGGGGACACTTATTGCCTTTTTGCGGGGGTGATGATGCAAAGATGTGCAAAAAGTGATGAGGAAACATCAAGAAATACTACTTATGATCAAACCTTCGTGATGCAAACTAGAACTTGCAACTACTGGTCAACTTCTGTAAAATCAGAATAAGGCATTGTATTATCTTATCATATACTTTACCTGCTCATGTCTTAACTAACTAATATTTCAGCATAAATATGTCTACACAAAATTAAAAAAAAAATCTTTGAAAAGACTTACCTACTGGTACTTCTAAAATAAAGTCTGGTGTTTTGTCATAACCCTTTGCACGAAGCTGATCTTCAGCTATATACAGAGAACAAGAACTATTGTTTATAAAACGAACCTATTAAGTAGAAAGCAGTATAATTATTTTTCTTTTATATAAGAGTGGAAGAATTATTAATGCAGTCATACATATCTTTCTTGTGCACGCAATGCTGTGTCAGATTAAATGAACTTCCATAGAAAACCTGAAGCATGGATATAAAAATGCTGCTTTGTCATTTCTGCATTTTATGTCTTCATTATAAACATCATTAATTCAAGCTGTCATACAGTATTATATAACTCCTGAAAAAACAAAATAAAGAAGTACATTTGCTGATTGAAAGAAGAGTCTCCCCACATTAAGAAGCTTGTTGAGATTAAGCCTACTAAAATCAATAATGTGACTTTCCGCTTGATTTTACTTTAATGCTAACAAAAAGTTGTTAAAAAACAAGAACAAAAATCCAGTTCCTTTCCAGTTGGACATCTATCAGAAGAGAGAAGACACAACTTTAATTTTTCTTGCAGCCTGCAAAATGTTGAATTTATCCAATTTTGAAGACTACAAAGATTAAGAATTTTTCTTAACATTATATATACAACACTATTGCTTATGAATATTAAAGCTTTCAGGAACATTTCAAGAAACAATAATATGGAGCAAGGAAGATAAAACAAACAAAAGATGCTTGCTCTAAAAAAAAGGAAGACACACAGAGTGTTCAGTATTTTCTGAAGTATTGTCCTTGATTTCCAATACTATTATACTGGTATTTCTGAAACACCATTTCTCCATTAGATTTTGGAGTGACCTGGTCATTCAATTCCAGACATGGCTTTTTGTCTTCACCCAACCTCAACTAATGGCACAACCTAGTAACAAGTAAGGCCGCATAGTCCCTTAACACCTACTGGGCTGTTGACATTGTCATGCATCCTATTCGCCTTTCTACATCACCTTTGATTAAAATTAATGGCCCATTCTTACTGTTAGGTAGCTTATTTCCAATCCATTTATCAGGTTAGGACAGTAGTTTCATGGCCAATGTTCAGAACTCAGTTTTAGAATACTTTGTGCATATCCTGAAAGGTCAGCAGTTTGAGCCCAAGCAACATTTTAATAACATAAAAAACATTCACAGCTTTTATATAAGAAATTCACCTTTAGAAAATAAAATATTTTAAACATACCTAAGGTCAATTTTCCCCTCCTTTCTCACCACAGGATAAACATCTTATGTAATAATTTTTTATTTTTTTAAAATAGTGAGCTATTATTTTGAGCTGGAAGTCAGTAATCTTGAAAAGTTGTACAATCTTATAATATAAACTGCAATATTTGCTATCCTATTTTATAGCTGTTAGTACTTCTATTGAAGTTTGGTAATATTCCTTCATAGTAGTACATGATCTTGTAAATAAAAGCTGTGGCAATTATATCACACAGTTTGCTATCAAAACTTTTCTGGATTTTGAGTCAGACTTGCCTGTAGGTAATTTTTTTCAAACTTAGATTGGGTATATACATAAAAGATATTTAGGTTAACAAGGCTCTAGTTGAAAACAACCTATGAACAGACAGTTTTATGCTATAGAATAAAAATGAATTAATGCCTTAAGCAATTCCTTAATCTTGGTAAGAATAAAAAACAATCCAGTTTCCTCTAACTCTTTTTAACTATAACCAGGTTTTAATTGTTTAAAATGGTTTAGAAAAGATGATCAGGTATCTAAGTTGAAACTCTCACTATTTAAGAATGTACAGACAGCAATACAAATCTGTCTTTTCCATCACATCTAAGAATGGCTAGTATCACAAATTCAGGGAAATGACCTTAAAAAAGGCAATAAAAGCGAGGACAATCGTAAGAACAGTCATTTCCTGGCATGCTGACTCAGCAGGTCTCTGAGCTGGAGTTTGCACTTGCATTACTTTGAATACTCTTCACCACACTTTCTAGGGGGGAGAATCTATCTGAATTGATCTGACTTTAAAGTACGCCCTGGTCAAGAAATGTTTCTTGTTGCGAATTGCTTGCTGAATGTTTCCTCTTGGTTCCTTGTAACATTTTATACTACAAAAAATGGTGGTAAGCATATTTTTTAAACTATCTTTATTATTCACATGTGTTGGCATTAACATATGTGCATGTATGCTACATCTTCCAATTATTTTGAACTTTTATATGAACATGTTATTGTAACACCCTTCTTCCCCCAAGCCAACAAGTTTCAAGCTTTGTAGCTCAGATATGATTCAAATGGGTCCACAGGTCACAGAGATATTTTTTACATCTTAAAGGACCTTTTAAGGTCCCTTAGATGTAGGGAATGACTTAGGCCTGCCTGATGCTAGACCACAGTAGCTTTGACAGCACATCTATTTATCCTCAGGTTTGAAGTTCAAGTTGGAACAGCCCTAACGTATAGTTTTTCCATTTTCCAATTTAACTTAGTATTGGTCTTACACTAGTATTTGTATTTAAGAAAGAAATCAATATTTTTGAGTTGCTGCATGAATAAGAAAAGCATTCTGCAGTAACTGTACATTTAAGATTATCAGAGAAAATGTCGAATGTTTTCTAATTTATGTCTGTGGTGGAACCTCATGGTGAAAGCCAAAGAAGGTGAAGATTCCCAAAAAGATCAGTTACGTACCTTCCCATGATAGCTAACATGTTTCTTAATAGGGGAAAGGTAGTTGGGTAGGCAAAGTCAAGACAAGATGAAGTCAGATCTTAAGTAGAACTTGGAATTTGCTGGCATTTTGATAAGGTAAAGTGAACTAGCGATGAAGTGCAGGCTGTTAGCCTGTTTTGAGCGATTTCTTCCACTGATCACCCGAATCTTAAGACAAGATGATAAAGAAAACTTCAGAACTGTGTTTTTGATGGAGGGGAAGCAGCATACATTTTCCTTTCAATAGCAATATCTAACTAAAAGGCAAAGAAAACGGTATAGCTTTTCGAACAGCTGCTGGGTGAATCTGAAGATGTGTAGGCTTCTAAAGCTAGCTGCTCTGGAAACAGAGAAATCCCCTCTCTGAACCAAAAGGCTGATTCATACTGCTCCCAAGATTATACTGGTGCAAAGTATACTGAATACACTTTTTCATTGTAGGTGAATGCAGCAATACAGGAAACTCCTTCTTCTTTCTGAAGAACTTCCTTTGTTAGGGAGTCGTGCCCTAACATGGAAAGTGGCAGAAACTGGTCCGTCAACTCACGGGACCTCAGTCTTTATTTACAGCCTAACAAAGATGGATGGCATAGAAATAATAATAATTTAGCATATCTTAAATCATGACTAAACAATACTTCAGTACACATAAAATGTAAACCATATATTAAATGCTCTCATTTATATCTTTATATGCTGGTAAGTTAACCTGTTCTGAACATTTTGATTTGAGAGCACAAATTTCTTCAAGCTTATTTTTGAAGATGAATTTGAAACCTAACAAAGGTCATTAATCATTAAAATTTAAATCTGGTCTGTGTACAACACAAACTTGCACAACGCCAAAAAATGACAATTGTTGGGTTGAGAATCCATTAGTGAGCCATCTAGTTCTTCTCCTTATATTGTGACTGGATTGATTTCATTAATCCCCTGCCAGTTTTGACAGATGAGTGTCAAGTCTAGCCTTAAAGTTTTCATTGAAAGCGATTCCATAACTTTCCTTGGCAGCTTGTTCTATACTTATTGGTCCTAGCATCGTGTTAGCATTAACATCACCTTTCCAATTTCAGATTAAAGCCTTCGCAAAGGAGCACACTAACTCTGCTCCTTAAATATATGGGCAAATCTTTGCAAAATTTTAGAATTTAAGATTTCCAGAAACTTAACCTGACTCTAACTTTAGGAGAGATCATTTTCTGGCAAAACCAGTATAATTCCCGAATCATACGAATTTAGTTGAAGACTGAACTGTAACAAAAGATAGTATTTAATTTTGTTATTACAAGGAATCCAAGATTTAAGAAGTCATCATAACTTTATTATCACAGTAAGAGAAACAATATTTTAAATACTAATCATTGTTTTAATGGTATTTATATACAAGTAATATTGTACAGGCTCAAAAAAAAGTCGCTTTCTAAGAAATTAATTTTTAAAATAACTTTAAGTATAGGTATTGGGAAAAGAGTGCTTGCACTGGTCATGGAAGGAAGCAAAAAATTCAGCAGAAACTGTACAAAGAGCTGAATGAGTGAATCTTCCAGCAGTTCTTTAATTCATAAAGCATTTTGCAGCTAATATTTCTTGTGCTTCCTCCTAAGTCTCACAAGGCTTAGATTATGGCTAATATCTCATGACACCAAAAGTAATACTGCAGCAGATATTAAAGCATTTTTTTCAGCTACTTATTCTATAAAATATTAATTGCAAGCCTGTGCATGTGCTGTATATATAGCATATTAGGTAACTGAGTTCCTGCTCAGTCCTAAATCAATAAGAGATATCATGTACAGTATGAATCATTTTTTACTCTACTTCCTAATACAATGTTGAAGGTTTTTTTTTTTTTGGAAGTAAACAGTCACGGAAATCTTTGAAGTTAAGGATTCACTGGCTAGTCTTTACTACAGCTTCTTACCTATGAAAGACAGATTCTTTTCCAAAAGCATTTCTCGCAGCAAGACTTCATGCTCATGCCCAATTGCGCTGACAGTTTTAGGTTAAGAAATGAAAGACTACTTTGTAAAAGAACAGAATTCAGAACAACATCTCAGGTAAATGATTCATTCATGATAAAATTTACTGTCCCTCATCTTCATTTCAGAAGTGATCAATGATTTGAACACTAAGTTTTGAAATACTTCAAGGACTTTCAGATGCATTTAGCACTTCCTGAAAATAAGGCTATTGTATACAGCATTAAGTTTATGAAATTGAGACTTATTATAGAGTATTTGCTCAATACAAATAAGAAAAGTATTTTTCTTGTTTTCACTTTTTCCAGAACAGAAAACAAAATATGAGCTTAAAAGATGAGCTTAAATAGCTATTAGATTACTCTCTACTGACGCATGTATCAATTTCTCTAATTTGGCAAAGAACGAAACAAGTAGTTTTTTTTTTCCTTTATACTCTGCAATTGATAGGCACTAAATCCATATGAAACATCTTACTGTAACAAAACATCCTTTTAATTGATTTTTCAGAAGCATGAACTAATGTCAGGGAAGGATGAAATAATATTTTACAGTGAAGTCCTTTTCACTTCACTGACAGCCTGTTGATCCAATGTGCTATTCTTAGTAATATGGAGAAGTCATCACATCAAACATTTTTATTCTATCTGCCTGGAAGTCAAAATTCTATTCTGGAAGCTTTCAGGAAGAATCTTATGGATCATCATAATTAAGGACTATGTATTAAACACAATTAAATTCCTAATTCTATTTAGAATAACTTCTGCAAACTGTAGAATGTCTTACCATTACGGCAAACAGCTTAATTTCTTTCAACACTTTACGCTGAACAGCAGAAACTATAATTGTAAGCAATCTTTTCATACATATACACATATTTTATAAAATGAAACTGTATCTGCATCTGTTCCTAGCACTTACATTACAAAAAAAAAGAGGGGGGAAGTCAAATGAATAATGGCAAAAATGTAGGACAAATGCTGCAAACAGAATTTATAATGCACCATAAGCAGAAACACTTAGACTTAGTCTATAATAATACCTATTATTGATGTATGGCAATGACCATGGGGCAAAACTTGTAAATAACCTCACAAGCCATTTTCTGCTCATGCAATCCAGCAGCCTAGTTTCCCGTAAGCATCTGAACTATTACTGAAAAATAGCCTCTTGGCATTTACAAAGAGGTTGACTTCATACTTTAGTCCATGCATATATAATTAGATAGTTATATTTAAAATCAATATGCAATCCTTCAGAAGACATTATGCTTTTAAAACCTTAACTTTAAATTGATTTTTAACTATTTTATGTGCCTTAAAATTAACATCTAATTCAGCAACATACTTCCAGATAATATAGTCACTCAGCTAAGTATTACCAAACTTTTCCTCACCGAAGAAGGATTAAAGAACTTCTCATTAATTTTCACTGAAATTGTTATACACCGAGTAAACTGATTTGAACCATAAGCTGTAGAGAACAGCGAGGACCTTTTCGACTGCAGGGAAATTATTTCTTAAAAACTATCAGTAAGCTTATATATGTATTACCTTTTCTCACGACATTTCGGAAGACTATATCCAGATTGTTCATGAAAATATCTTCATCGTACATGCCAAATTTTGCATACAAGATTTTATGATCAATAACCCTTTAAAAGTGTAACTTCATAGAGCTGTGTTTAATGTTGAATAGCAAAACACTTTGGCAAATAGAGTTCGAACTCTATCCTGTTGCCATTAACGTTAATTGCAACAGGACTGAGCCGATAGCAGCTATGAAGCAAATAATTCTAATGGAAAATTCTTGCATTTCCAAATGCCACTATGGCTTTCCTATCCTGTAACTATAGAGTGAAATCCAGATCTTTTCCCGAACTTGACGTAAAGATTTATGCCAGGGTTTTCTGCAGCTTGAGGGAGAGTTATCTTGCTGGTCTGCTCAGCGTTAGAAGGCTCCAATTTTGAAATTGTTCCTTCAATAGCGGACTGAAATAAAAGAACAACTCCTCCAGGACATTATTAACAGATACTAGGTCACAGGTGTCATTCCTAAGAAATTATACACTTTTCTGTAATATTCAGTATCGTATGGACCTCCTGCAGTACCCTCAGTGGATAATGAGGAACTCTGATTAACCATTTCATCACTGCAAAAAGAGAAAAAAAAGAGAATAAAAATCCCCCCCTAAAACTCAAGCTGCATTATTCAAAAGTAATGTCCTTTTTACAGATAGCCCCATTTCCATTAAAAGACAAGAAAGTAAAAGAACTGTACTTGAATGTCAGACAGAATTAAAAAAAATACTAATCAGTCAATCAATCCTAACTTAGTTTACATTTGATAATATTCCACTTAAAACTAACTTTCCTAATGAAGCTAATACCATAATGTTGATCATTATCTATTGAATCTTGTAACTTAACCACAGAATTGTTGAATTTTGAAGGGACCTCCATGTATCACCCAGTCCAGTCCCTTGCTGAAAGCATGGTCAACTAGTGTTAATAGAAAATGAGACACACATTTCGACTAATCAAAACCAAAGAGGTACAGTCAGGCATATGAATTT